GAGAGGGCCGAGCTCCCGGCTTCCAGCCCCCTGGGGCAGAGGAGTGGGGTGTGCGCAGGGGAGGGGGGGCCAGGAAGTGGGGGGGTGACAAACATGGGGCGCAGGGGGTGGGGGGGCACTGGAAGGACCAGGGGCTGCAACGTGGGAAAAATCCTGCAGCCACCTGAGCCCCATTCCCCCCCCGGGGGCAGGCAGCACCCCAGAGCCCTGGCCAAGAAGCGCAGCTCCCCTGAGCACCCAGAAGAGACTACAGCTCCCAGCATGCAATGGTGCTGAGCGGTGCATGCTGGGACTCGTAGTCTCCCCAGGTGACCCCCAGCCAGAGGGAGCCCGAGGCAGGTGGGGCGGGGGGGTTATATCCGGACAGCCCCCGAGACGACGCCCTCCCAGAGCCGCGGGGTCAGGGGCACGTAGGCCCCCGAGGTGTCGTCAAGCAGGTACAGCGGGTCCGGGAGGCGCGTGGGGTCGCAGCCCTCGCTGGCCAGACGCACCTTGTGCTGCTTGAAGGTCTGTGTCATCGCCAGCTGGTCCTGCCGGGGAGGGGAGACGCGTCAGAGCTCAGCCGGGGGCTGCAGGGACGGGGGGGGCCCTGCTGGAGGCAAGGGGGGGATAGGGGTGTGCAGGTGCCAGAGGTTGGGGGCTCCTGCTGGCTGACACCCCCCCGGCCTGGATTCCTGGGTCTTTTCTCAGGTCCTTTAAGCTGCCAGAATCCCTCCCCCAATACAGCTTCACCAGCCCGAGCTGTTGTGCTGGGTGCTCTCAACACGCCCCGCCCCAGAGTCAGCCGCATCTCAGCCCAGGTGAGAGATCCCTCTATAAACAGCCAGCCTGCCCCACCCCAGAGGCAGCTGCAACTTTCTCCAGGGTGTCATTTCCAAGCCTTTGACGGGGAGGCCGGTGGTGTTTGCACTCCCCACCCCATGGTCCCGGTGCCCAGCGGGCGTTACCTGCACTCTCAGGAAGCGGGGCCGGGCGTAGGGGGGCAGGAACTCCACCACGTGGCTGTACAGACAGGCCCCATCCAGCTCGCAGCCCGGCCGCAGGACAATGGCGGCCATCCCAGCCCGGCCCTCGTACCCTGGGGGAGAGGGGGAGCAATGAACACCGTGGGGGGGGGGGGCCCAGACTGTGCTGGGCGGGGGGAGGAGACAGAAGGGACAGAACCTCCCCCACCCCGACATTCTCCCACTGGGCTCCAGGAGGCAGCTGTACCCCCCGCCCCGGCTTCCCGTTTTCCTGGGGAGCCCCTGGCAGCAGCCTGCGGGGGAGGGGGCAGC